TGAAATATGCCTGCAGAGGAGATGAAGCACAGATAAAATGAGAGAACAACTGAGCCAGATCAGAGAGACTGAGAAAGGATACAAGAGGAATGTGACCCTGAATTTTCAAACAGTGATAAGAAAAGAGCTTGATCTCACTATCACACTATTTTGTTACAGTTCATTTTTTTTTCAAATTAAATTATACTATCTTCAAGATCAAACACTATTTTGCCAGGTGTCTGGCTTAGAGTTTTGGATATAATTTCAAGTTTCTACAGTGCTAATGCAGAAGTCTTTTTCTACAGTACTAATGCAGAAGTCTAAGCGTAGACTTGAATCAAGTGTCTGTCCATACCTCCGAGAGCAACATCACGTTTCCTGTGCTCTTCCCATTTTGTCATCTATTCCATGTAATAGCCAGCAATTCCAAGCTGAAGTTGCTCTTTTCAATAACTAAACATTCACACAAAAATGAAATTTAAAAGTTGACAATACATTTCTGAGGACCACATCCATATATGCACAGTGCAACAAGAAAACCTCCACATTAAAATAGTATAATCATTCTCTTCTTCTCACATTAAGTCACATGATGGAGGAAACACACCACAGAAAAAAAGCTGAATTTTTATTTTAGCCCTATCAACAATGTTTATACTAAAGGCAAGGATATATTACATGGAAACAAATATGTGTTCCAGTACATACGTATTTGGCCACTAAACCATTCGCAAAGTTCCTCAAGTCATTATCCCACAGAAATTAAAAGGAACATGCATTCAAAACAAAAGCAAGACACAAAAGAAAAAACATGAAACAGTCACATTGCTGAATTCCAGAAAAACTCTGAAAAAACCTAGCCAAATTCTACTCTCAGCTCCACGGACATGTAACCAGCAGTAATTTCACCTACTGGATTTATTTATACTACCACTGCAGAATTTTGCCTAGTTTATCTAGTAATATGCCTTATACTAGAAGTCTTGCATGGGAAAAAAAATCCCAAAACCAAAAATGAACACAGTGAGAGATAATCACTAGACAAAAAAGAACAAAACTGGCTATTTCAGAAAAATGACCGAACCAGATGCACATTATTCACACAAGTAAGGATATGCACAATCGGGCCTACACTAATTGAGCACAATAGACAAATCGTCACTCATTAAAGATCTATCTGCCTGAATTTATCTTTGCTTTCTCTTCATTTCTTATGAGTTACTCAATCACTTCCTATCATCCAGGATAGGAAATATTACACTATGAAGACAGAGCTATAATTAGATATTCCTGTATTTCATTTCCCATATATGACTGAATGAGAATGGATGGGAAAAATACAAACAGTGATAATAACAGTATGTTGGAACATTCAGTAAGAAATATATTGGGCATAGAATAACATCTTAATTCTTCCTCAGCACATAATGCTGTGTTTATTGCAAGGTCAGTTAAGATACTATAAGAGATTTTTAATGAAAACAATTATAAATTTAAAATAACTGTGTTTAAGCATTTAACAGTCACTAAGGTCAAGTGATTACAGCAGTTACAAGACCCAAGGGACATGTTCACACCAAAACAAAGTGAATAAATTACCTCAGTCAGTGTATGTAATCACTAAGTGACCACAGAGGTTATTCAGCATATGAGCCCAGACGACTTTCACGCAAAACCAATAATGAAAATTTATCAGCCAAAGAGAAAAAAAAGCATAAGAATTAGTAAAAGTTGAGGAGGAGTGGGAAAGAGGGCATAGAAGGCATGTTTCATGATCTGGCTGCAGAGGCAAGGAAGAAGGATGAATGTTAAAAAAATGGGATGGACAAGATGCCAAACGTTTTGCTCTCATGAGATAACCGAAGACTTGCAAAGGGATGTGAGACCCACAAAATGTAAAATTCCAAGGCTGACAGAAGTGCTCTCAGTCCTGTATAACTCTGGCATGTGTTAAACCCATGTACAAGCGACGCTGAGGTTCAGAATAATCATCTTTTAACTTTTCCCTTGGCTTTACAGCCAAGAAAATTATGGACAGTTATTGTGTCTTAGTTATCCCATTATATAATCCTAGTGGAGATGAAGCCCTGATTTTTACCATAGAGTAGGTAAAGTATGCTGTAGAATGAAACCTAGCTTTGCTCTCACTTCTCTCCCTCAAGGTACAAATGATACAGATGGCCTTGTCTTCATTCTTACTTTACAACATGATAGCCAGTGGAGAAAACCACGCACACAAAAGATATGAAAACCCCTTTCTATAAGGAAAATGTATTTGATGGGAGTTCTAAGACCAGTGCTTTGGAATAAGGTTCCTACCAACTATGATGAAAAAAGGTGCCTCTCACTATATGGCAGAAGAAAAAGGAATCCTGCTTGTTCCTGCCTGCCACTGGTATGTATTTTTTAAACTATTACATGTCATTGTCAAACAACCTTGAAGGTATTAATCTTCACACTATACATAGTAAATAGTAAAACATGATTACTCGCATTTTGCAGATAGGAGCCTGAAGTAAAGTAGCAAAAGGACACACCTGACTTCATAGTGTTTCGATTCCAAATGAGGAGAGGACAGCACTGGTGCAAGTATGCACCAATGTGACCAGATTTCTCAGGGGAATCAGATTCCTGCCCCACCTTATGCCACAAATCTAATAACTGGTATTGTCGTCTATATGAAAATGCAAGTAGACTCTGCATTAAGAAAAAGAGGAATGAAATAACCAAAGATGTTTTCTCTGTACCTGAAATATGAAAGCCTGAGGCCAAAGGCGGTAGGTCCTCACACCGTCAAAGCTTCCAGTTTCAATGTCACTGACTGCCAAAGAATGCAAAACCTGCTTTCTCAGATAAATACCATACTGACTCTTACAAGAACAGTATATATGCTACGAAAGCCCATGGTAAATTATTGAGGTTGGAACAAAATCTAATCAAAGGGTCATAATTCTTCTGTTGCAAATGTTAAACCAAGGATCCATGTGATAAAATAATAATGATAATAATGTTTGAAATTGAGTCCCCATCCCTGGATGTGTTTAAGAATAGGGTGGATGATCTACTTAGCGATATGGTTTAATGGGGATTAGGGATGGTTGGACTCGATGATCTCTAAGGTCTTTTCCAACCTAGAAATCTATGACTCTATGAAATAGAGGGAATGCCAAGTGGCTGCCAATACTGTAAGATTCCCTATGAAAGGGTGAAAACACAGTAGCAGCTTACTTGTTTTGGCTTTCAGCAGTACGGAACGAGCATTTTCAAATGCCAAGCGCTGGGCATGAGCTCTGGTTGTATCAAAACAGTACTTGTGAAATGACCCAAGGTCCAAAGAGGCACTTGGCAACCGGACACTGCTTTTAGCAGTGTATTCAGGATGGACTTTGGAGGTCTATGCTCTCCAGAAAGAAATTCCTTTCCTGGAGCTGCCTGGCATCTGTAACAACTGAACCTCGTTGAACAGCAGCCCTGCGCCTAGCTTCTCTTCGAGGATGGAAGCTCAGCAGGACCACACCGCCCACTCCCAGGGAAGCTGTGCAGTCTCCCACTGCCTTTGGGGTGCTTGCTTCTCCTCCTCCTCCTCCTTCACAACACCAACATTTACAGGTCATCACAAAGATCACACAAAAGTTGAGGAAGATGATTCCATTCCTACAGTGTCTCTTCCCTCAACCTACGTACATATCCACCTACTTGTACCACTTCTTACTTCCCATTCCTGCAATTACATTCCCAGAAAAAGGATAGTTTTGAGCCCATAAAAATCCAATACATCTTTCTAGAAATAAGAATGATAAAATTAAATTACAGTAACATGGCAGTACCTGGAAGCCCCAATCCCACATGAACAGCAATAAAAAGAAGGAAAAACGTTCTTTAAAACTAGGCTATGGAAATCAGAGGAGGTCAGTAGGAAGATAAAAAGAACAGTATGAAGAAAATGCAAAGGAGGGTGAAAAGACAGAGAATGTGGAAGCTCTTCAATTTAAAAATTCCTTTTGCAAATCCAAATGTTCTTCACTTATCTCTTGAAGGGTCAGCCAAGGAACTCCAATGGAATAAAATGATGCTATTAAAAGCATGTAGAAACGTGGCCATCATACAGCAGGCAAGAGAAAGTGCAGTGATGGAGGTAAAGTATGATGACAAAGCTCTGCTTTCAAAGGTTTTAAATAATGCTGTAAATTCATTCTAACGTTTCTTGAAAATCAGCTGCTTGAGATACCTTCATCTCTGAGTATTTCTAGTGCAAGTGGTGACACGGCAGTACACAGTCAGCCTACCAGTGGCATTTATATCAGGAGCATCCTACACAAGTTCTCATCCTTCATTTCGGTCTTCTGCTGTTGCAATTTAATTGCCCTCAACTGTAGCAACACACTGCATCAAGGCACTGCTATCAAAAGGCGTCCTACTGAAGAGGCATCAAGCACCTGTGTTCAAAGTTAAAACCCCGGTACTCTAACTTAAAGGGGCAATCATGTGAATACCACCCCAAAAAAGTTCTCCTTTTCCGAACAGTATAATTGATTTTGGCATCCTGTGTTGTGGAAAGAAGAGCTTCCATCATTTCCAAATATATCATAGCTTTCGGCATTCAAAAAAAGCATTCAAGCATCAAAAAAAATATTTCAGCTTTCAATTATAGCAAACCCAAAATGCAGTAAGTAATAGTTTTGGCTGTGGACATAAACCCTCCCCAGCATCAACGATCAGGATGCTGTATGCCTTCGTATGAAGTGCCACCACCCTCTATGCGCACACAGAAGGCTGCACAGTCCTTGCTGTGGAATGACAGGATCTCTTCCCCCAGGATAATGCAGAAACACAGCAAAGTCTCTACATTTGTCTTAATTAACAGAATCACACTGAAGCTAGAAACAGCACATCACATGAGGACAAGTGAAGCAAGGGTAGGGGGAGATTTTCAAGTGCTCTAATTCAATTAGGAGGCAGTGACTGACACTTGGACAGGAGAGGTTAATTGGGGTCACCAAAACGCAGTAATTCCTTACCTAACCAGTCATTAAACTTCTTAACCTCTGAGGGCAGTCCCAGCTCGGTGAAATCGCCCGTGTGGAGAAGGATGTCCCCATAAGGCATCTGGATGCCATCTGTTCTGGAGTGTGTATCTGAGACGCAGACAAATCGCGTGTGGCCCGCTGGTTTTGGAGTGTCATATGGGATAGGGTCGACCCTAAAGCAGACACATAAAGATCTCACAATAGTTACAAGGTTAAAACCCTGACATCTATTACTTCAGATATCAACACAGATCTGTCTCCACACAAGCGTGCATGCACACACATACGCATCCATTTACACACACTGCGCTGCAAGAACAGACTTGCCAAAAATCCAGAAGAGACCACAGTGCTTTTTACTTACCTGGTGAGGAAGGAAGATAAGGAAATACAGAAGATAGGGCCAGTTTCTGATGCCAAAGTTAATTTAAACATTGGAAAAAATCGAATTGAGAGACTTTGAATTCAGATTTTCTTTTTTTTCCCCATCATCTGCTTTATACATGAACAGGTACACAGTGTCGTGGTTTAGGCCGGCCAGCAACTATACGCCACACAGCCGCTCACTCACCCTCCCCCACCCCTAGGGGATGGGGAAGCGAATTAAAGGGAAAATGGGAAAGAGACCCGTGGGTTGAGATAAGAACAATTTACTACTACTACTACTAATAAATGAATATAGGTATGTACAATGATAAATACATATACAAACAAGTGATGCACAGTGTAATTGCTCACCACCCCTTGACCAAGGCCTGTTCTGTTGCAGACTAACGATCCTGAAACAGGTAAGTCCTGACACCGCAACCCTGGACAAGTGAGAGGACCAAAAAGAGAGTGAGAGAGAGACAGCACTACAAGAGTGAGAGCCCTGGAAGATCAAAGGCCCGTCTTTCTGGCTGACCCTCATTTTTATACTGGGCATGACACTGCATGATATGGAATACTAATTGGCCAGTTTGGCCCTCAATCCTAAATCTAAGTACAAATCATAAGGGGAGTTGTGGACCCCCCCGTCCCGGCCATGCTCCCCTCTGTACCAGGTCTCACAGGTGGGCCAGCAACAGGCTCTCACTTGAGCCGAGCAGCTCAGCATCTGATGTTGTTCAAG